AAGAAGATGGAAATCATGACCTGGGAGCTGCAGACAAATGACTTGAAGGAAGTGGTCAATAAACTGCTTCCAGACAGTATTGGGAAAGACATAGAAAAGGCTTGCCAATCTATCTACCCTCTTCATGATGTCTTCGTCAGAAAAGTAAAAATGCTGAAGAAGCCCAAGTTTGAAGTGAGAAAACTCATGGAGCTTCATGGTGAAGGTAGCAGCTCTGGAAAGGCTCCTGGAGATGAGACTGGAGCTAGAGTTTAACGAGCTGATGGATATGAACCACCAGTACAAGAGTCCGTTTAAGATCCAGATTTTTAACAGTGATAAATAAAGTCCTATTTGTGATGGCCTGCTTCTAAACATTCAAAAAATAAATAAAAGGTCATTAAAGATTTCTGTGAAACAGTACCAATCTTATGTCGGGTCATACACGTATTTTTATTTTCATATGTGTGTGTGTGTGTATAAAAGACAGGGAAGAAGTAATATAAAGTCAACAGAAAATGGAAATATACTTTGAAAGTTTCTGATACTAGGACAGAATATCATACCATGTCTCTTAAATAAATTGTAAGTCAAAGATATAGTATAAATCTTAGAACAAAAATTAAGATTAAGCAATATTCAGAAAATTAAATACTAATTAATTAAAAATTAAATGTTTCAAGACAATTAAACTAAGAAAAAGTTTTCATGATAGTAAAAAAGTACTAAGAATAAAATATAAGATAAATACTGGAATGGCAAATAAATGACCAGCACTTCTAACAGTTTGGGGATAGGATATAGCACAAAGTTCTAGTGTGTTGTGGACATGGGTAATGTCCATGACACTTACTGGTGGCCAGGTTGAACTACAGCTATTTCCTTGAAATCCACCCTGTGGACCCAGTTGGAATCATGACCCATAGGGTGGAAGACAAGTCCATTTGTAGAGTGTGCTGATGGAAATATTTTGCTGCTATATACAAAAGAATAACTGAAAGACTGCTTTTGTATACCTCTTATTCTCCTGTGTTTAATTGTTTGCCCTATTTGGTGGGTTCTTTTCATTCTCTTTCATGGAGTTGTGATCATTTTGCTCCCTCTCTAAAACATTTAGTAGTCTGTGTAGGCTTGGCTTTGTCGTCATGAAATTCTTAAGTTGTTCTTTGTCATGGAAGTATTTCACTTCTCCGTTATATTTGAAAGAGAGTTTTGCAGGGTGTATCAGTCTGGGTTGGAATTTGTTTTCTTGCAAGACTTGAAGTACTTTGCTCCATGCACTTCTTGACTTCATGGTTTGTGAAGAGAAATCTGCCATTATTTTGACAGGTTTTCCTTTAAATGTGATCTGTTTCTTTTCTTTAGCAGCTTTTAGTATACTGTTCCTGTGCTGAATTTCCATTTGTATTGACTCCTTCCTTCTCATTGATATCTGTTAGTCTCACATTGTTCATCTTTGCATTGTCTTGCAGGTATTGAATTTTTTTTCCTGCATCCTAGTTGTTTTTAAGAGATCTTTTCTTTTTCATTAGCTGCAATTGTGTCTTTAAGGTCTGAAAGTCTTACTTTCACTTTCATTCAGTTTTGCCAGGTTGTGATTGAGGTTTTAATTTCCTGTATATCACTTTGAATCTGCTTCATGCATTCTATTTCTTTCCTATATTGCTTATTCAAGGACGCCATCATTTTTATATTCTGTTTTTTTTTCAGTGTCTTCTTTAGAAGCACTTAGTACTTATTTGATTATAGTTATTTGTTTTTTTACTTCAGAAATTATTTCTGATCTCATTTCCTCTATACCTTTCTGCAGTTGTTTCTTTACTTCCAACACTATTATTTCAGAGATTTCAGGTGTGTGATTTCCAGTTTCCTCAATGCTAGTGTCTTCTGCATTTGTTCTGGGTGGACTCAGGGCCTGAGACATTTTGTTCCTTCTCTTTGTCATTTTTGTATACCACTGTCTTCTGAGCTTTGGTATAGAGCTTAGATAGAGGTATTATCTTAGTACCAGGTCGGCCCGGGGCCTGCCGGATCCTCATTCGACCCTGAGCCCAGGCCCTGTGTGTGAGTGGGACTGTCCAGGGCCCGCCCGATCCTCACTGGACCCAGAGCACAGGCCCGGCATGTAAGTGAGACCGCCCGGGGCCCACTAGTTTCTGATATTTAGAGTAGGGAGAAGTTCAAATACTTGTCCAAATTACCTATTCTGTGGTAGTGTCCCACTAGTTTCTGATATTTAGAGTAGGGAGAAGTTCAAATACTTGTCCAAATTACCTATTCTGTGGTAGTGTATGTGGTAATTTGTTTCATTTATATTACTAATTTATTCATTGAGAAAAAAACTATCTTTGGGTTATCTGTCTGTGTGTGTGTGTGTGTGTGTGTGTGTGTGTGTGTGTGTGTGTGTGTGTGTTGGTACCAGGAATGGAACTCAGGACCTCGTGCTTGCCAGGCAGGCATTGTGCCACTGAACTGTATCCCTGGCCCTGTAAAAATATTTCTGGTCTATGTCTTATGCTCTGAGTAACTACTTTGAAGATAATGATGCACAGTGTATTAACTGTTGTTATTCTTTTATTTTGTTACAGACTTTTTAGTTTTTCATAAAAAAGAAACCACTTGGTTGCTGAACTATCTGAATAACTATATCCCTCAGGAATTTTGGGAAAACTTGAGCATAGAGCCTGAGTCAGCTGAGCTCAAAAGTAAACAGGAGAAGTATCTGCAGAGCATTGAAGTGCTCTACCTAGACAAGATGCCTGAGGTCCTGGGTGACCCCCAGGCCAATGGGATGACAGAAAAGTCAGTTTGGCCAGTAGGAAGAAATTCTTCCTGGGACAAAAGTGCCAGACTGAGGCTGGGGAGATGGCTCAGTAGAATAAGCATTTCCCTGGCAAATGCAAAGGCCTGAGTTCAATCCCCGATTCTGAGGGGAAAAAAAAGTGCCAGACTGGTTTTACATCAAGAAAATGGTTGATACTGAAATGACTGGATTTTAGAAATTCATTATAGTATTCATTGTATCCAGGAATCACCTATTCCCCACTTTTATGTGACTTTCCTAACAATGACTGAGAGAAGGTACTCATTTGGGCACTGTGGGTGAGGCTCTTAGCATTAGAACATCACTAGAAACTGACTTTTGTCTTGTCCAATCCACATACCATTTGACACCTGTTTTCCAGCTCAAGAGAAAATTTATCATATTTTGACCTTACTGTCAGGATCTGATTAGGTAACCCTTTAGGCTTCTGGTGAGAAATTGGCCTTAAATAATAGGCTGGGTTACCATTTTTATTGCTGTGTTTATAGATCAGAAAAGTTAGATATTGAATGTAAAGGGAAGGAGAGAAGGTAGGCTTGCTGCTGCTGTTTGCTGTTTAGTATCTCCTTCCTGCTTTGCCTCTACTGCCCTGCCTTGGAGCCAGCTGAATAGGCACTGAGACTGTGAACTGAAATAAAACTTTCCTCCTTTAAAAAAAGTTAGATATTAATAATAATTTGTCCTTCAATCTGCTATATGGTTGAAACAGATAATGTGGAATTATATGCTGTTTACTTTATATCCTTCATGTACACATACTTGCAAAACCCTGGGTAACGTGACATCTCAAACTCATCACACTGCACTCACCAATATGTAAACCTAAAGTGTCGTATCTTTAACAAACCTGCATTTAAACAAAGTGGTGCTTTCCTCGGTGGCTTGTTTTCACCTATTGCCCAGTAGGAAGGAGAGTCTTTTAAATCTAAGATCCTCCAAAAAGTTTCCTCTAACCCCACATCCTGGCAAACTTTGTTCCTCAGCATTTAAAAAGGAGCTGGGAACATGGTACTGAATGAAATAAGATGGACACAAAAGGACGAATACTTTGTGATTCCTCTTATGTGAAGTACCTGAAGCAGTTAATTTTTACAGAGACAAAAGTAGGATATTGCTACCAGGGGCTGGGGCAGAGAGAGAAATGGGGAATTGTTACTTAATGGAGATGGTCGTGATGATGATAACAATGCCACTGAACTGTATTCTTTAAAATGGTTAAGATGGAAAATTTTATGTTACATTTATTTTATCACAATTTTTAAAAAAAGATTAAGCTTATCCATTAACATATGATAACACCAGATCCAGCCTTGGTGTTCATGTTTTAAAAGGTGATCAGAAAATACATAACACTTCAGCTGTTTTAGTCCATGTTTTATTTCAATAATAAAATACCTGAGGCTGGGTACTTTACAAAGAAAAGAGGGGTTTTTTTGGAGGAGCTGGGGCTTGAACTCAGACCCTTGCGCTTGCCAGGGAAGCGCTTATTCTACTGAGCCATCTCCCCAGCCCCCAAGAAAAGAGGTTTGTTTTGGCTTGCAGTTTTGATGTAGGAAAGTTCAGCACATGACACTAGGATCAGTTGGGCTTCTAGTTAGGGTTTTGTGCTGTATTGTCTCATTCCTAAAGATCTAATCTAATCTCAGAGAACTAACTCAGTTTCTCAAGAATGACATTCATCCACTCATGAGGATAGTGTCTCCATGACCTAATCACTGCACACTAGGCCCCACCTATTAAATAGTCTGACCACCTCTCACTGTCACTATACTGGGGACTGGTGTCCAAGAACATGAACCTCTCAAGGAGACAAATCTTTTCCAAACTATATCACTGTCCTTACATTGTTATCAAATATAATTGACATTAGGACCTAGCATCACCAGGAGGGTTTCTCAGAATGGTTCCACTTCTGACAGCGCCATCTTATAGATACCATATGTTCCTATTAGGGTGAAAGTATTTTTGAAGCCTTGTTAAGGGTGCTTGGGATCAAATCCAGGCCTGTGCGTACGAGTAGAGCACTCTACCAACTTAGCTACCTTCTCTGCCTACTTTATAGAGACTTGTTAGTATGTACTAACTTTGTATTTGGTCTTCTCAGAGGATTAAATTACTCTTGGAGTCAGATGTCTTAGAAACAAAGTTTTGTGGTCAGAGATATTAATCATTGTATGGCTTGTTGTTGGTTTTACAGAACAACTTCAAGAGGATATCCACAGTCTCCAAAGACTGTGAAGCCATCATACCAAGGATCTCCTGTGAGGTACCGCTTTCCTCCTATTCCCAGCCAAGAAACACTCAAGAAAAAAGCAGAAAAAGAGAAGAGCAATAAAGAAAAGGAAATTGCTTCAGGTCTTCAGGCTGTTGACCTATGCAGAGAAGAAATCTCAGAGAAGCATGTAGCAGACAAGCAGGCCACCGAGAAGCGTAAGGTAGACAAATATGCTATTGAGAAGAATGTGGCAGAGAAGCACATGGAAGACAAGCAGATCACTGAGAAGCACAAGGCAGACAAACGTGTTACTGAGAAGCATGTCCTTGAGAAGCAGGGCACCGAGAAGCATGTGGCAGACAAGCAGGCCACTGAGAAGCGCGTAGCAGACAAGCAGGCCACTGAGAAGCATGTAGAAGACAAGCAGGCCACTGAGAAGCACGTAGCAGACAAGCAGGCCACTGAGAAGCACATGCTGGAGAAGCACGTGGCAGACAAGCACGCTACTGAGAAGCATGTTACTGCAGGAGGGAAGATTGAGAGCAGTACAGGTAGACCTTCTTTGTCAATGTTGCCACTGGGCAGTAGCTTTCACAAGATGGCTCTCCCTGATCCAATCTATTTATTTGCCCTTCTCTTGTGTTTAGAGGGGAAAGGGGGTTTTCCCTAGGGTAATAACATTGCCTTGTAGTGCTTTATTGGCCTCGTTCGTTGCTCCTGAGACCTTCTCTGCCACCTTCCAAGGGTCTCCTCAAGGAAGAGACCTAGATGCTGATTCCTCTCATGGCTATGAAAACTCACAAGAATTCCAAGTAAGACAGGCTGCTGCCAGTCAGCACTTGCACTTCTCACAAGAGAGGGTCTTCTTCAGTTCTTAAAATCACTGATACATTTTGAGGTTGCACAGATGGTGGCTGCTGGGAAACTTGCTTATGACTGTTTCTCCTTCTCAGCCATCCGCCGTCACTGTGGATTGACTGCAGCCAAAATCACTACTGGTCTACCAAAGCTTCTGCTCAATGGTTAGTTGTAGCACTGTCCTGGCAGCATTTCCCATCACCACACTGCATTGAACTTTTTTATGTCTAAGTGGCAGTCGCAGTGTATGGAATCATCACTGGTTGTTCACTTACCTTGATCTTTTTTCTTTCTGCCTCTTTGCTGACCTAGTCTCGGGGAAACCCACAGCTGGCACCACTGATGCAGGAGAGGCTGCAAAGATCCTAGCTGAAAAGAGACGACAGGCTCGGCTGCAGAAAGAACAGGAAGAACAAGAACGACTGGAGAAGGAAGAACAGGAGAGGTATGCAGGCGTTCAGAGTTTCTGTAGGATCTGTTTAAAAGCTAGGTTGCAATGAGCAGCTTGACACTATTTCTATGCTTTTGTTATTGCTAAAACCTAAACAGAAGTGTAGGGCCTAGAATACCTGGACTGCACCTTCTGTTTGAAATAATTTTTTTTGTCTGTTTTTGAGATGAGGTTTTGCTATGCAGCGGGAGCTGGCTTGAACTCACTTTGTAGCCCAGGCTGGCCTTGAACTCACAGAAGTCCTCCTGCCTCAGCCTCCCAAGTGCTGGAATTGCAGGCGTGAACCACCACACTTGGCCACTGTTTGACATAATTATCACAGGTAGAATTTTGTTCTTTTCAGAGGACCTAAAAACTCATAGGAGTTGGATCTAGATGTTACAGGCAGGCCTGATGGAGCTATCAGGAGTGTGTGGAGTATAGAGTGAAAAAAATCCCTGGGAAGGTAGAATTCTGGATGTAGAGAGCTTTCTTCTGCTTCCCAAATTGTTTTCTCTTCCAAAGTATCGTAACTTATACCCCAGAATGAAAATGAAATGAGTTGGTAATGATTTCTTAGATTAGGGAGTAAGGAAAACCAAGCTGATAGCCCATTAACAATAAGCGATGGGGAAGTCCTATCCTGGAATAAGAACATGGCACTACAGTGGCCCTTAAGCTTTGGGGATGTCAGAATGGTCCAGAAACACAGTGAAGATACACTGATCTAAGCCCTGCTCTGTTTTAGTATTTTACTAGTCTTTGAGAACCACTGTGGTGATAGTGCAAGGGCACTTTGTCATAGTACAGTCCTGCCTTCTTTGATCTTTGTATTCAGAGAGGGAATACATATTAAAGGACAAGGTTGATTTTCTTTTTTTTTCCTTTGATAACAGTTTTTTATAAACCACTTAATATTTTTGTACAGAGACTGCTATGCAACCAAAAATAATATTTTAGACTTTTTTTTATCCAAGCTTTGACTTCTGGGTGTCAGCAAGGTGTGGAAACTTTTCTTGCAGAATTTTCTGTTTCTTTTTCTCCAGACACCTCTTTGTTGCTCTAATGCGGGCCCGTTTCTCATTTTTCAGTCTGACAAAATGGTCCACATAAGGCATTGCAAAGAATCGTTTCCTGTTGTATCTTTTATTTAGGTACCAAGGTATAGGCCACTGCTTGAACTTGTGCCAAATGATTCTTCCAAAGATGTCTCTTCTCCAAGCACCAGGTCGAGCTTTTTCTTGACCAGTCTGGAGAAGCCTTAAAGCATCTTCTCTTTCCTGGACAACTTTATCTAATGCATTCATGGACTCAACTACCTTTTCTAACCGTTCTGGACTTGGCATTGATAATACCTGCCACTTGGCCTCCTGTTCTAGAGTTAGAAGCATGTTTCTTTCTTTTAGTAAGACGTACCAAAGTTTATGTAAATCTTAATTACTTTTGTTCCTTAATTGCTGACAGGTCCACGCAGCTCCGGATTTCACTTTTTCTTGCCCCCAATTCTTTGGGTCATCAAAAAATTCTTCCAGTCCTCTTCTTGACAATGTAGTATGAAGTAATCTACACTGCTGAAAGGATGTGCCATCTGGTGTATTCTTAGATAACAAACTAAGAGAAAATCCTGTGCTAGCGGGGGCCTTGGGAGTTTTTAATGATACAGAAGCCTTCAGAACTGCTGAGACTCTTCTACAGAACAGAGCCAAACTGGCAGCAGCCATTTTTTCTGCGCAGCTAATCCAAGGTTGATTTTCTGGATGAAAGAAGCTTTTAGAATATTCACAGAGTACAACCCAGTGCTATTTAGAGAGTGACCATAGCAGGAAGCAAACAGTGCTGTGGCACTTGAAGGCCAGTACTGCATTTAAATTAATAAATAGTAAGATATTCTTGATCCTTTGGTAATCTTGACAAGTTTTTGTGCTCTCTGCTTATAGGTTTTTCTGGTCTTATTATTTTTTTTTGTCTGTGTGTGATACTAAGGATTGAATACATAGCCTTCACAGTAAGCTGCATCCCTGACCCAATTTTTTTATTATTATCTGTTTCAAGACAGGGTTTTGCTAAGTCACTAAGGGACCCAGGCAAGGCTTAAACTTGGTGATTCTCATGCCTCAGCCTCCCAGAGTGCTGGGATTACTGGTGCCTGCTACCATACCTGGCTTGATCTAATTCTTAGAAGGAGTGGGTTCTGTCTGATTCCTTCTTCAATGCTGGGCTTCTGCAATTATTTCCTCACTCTAGCCTTTTGGTTAATGACAGTAGCCACTTGATGAGTGGTGTGTTCAGGCTTGTTTGGGTGGGTCATAAGTCATGTGAAGGGAGCTCCCAGGAGATGATGAATCACAGGATTGCAAATGACAGGCCTTGGTAATGGCAGCTCCTAAAGGTAAAGTGCATGCTCTGAGCAGGTAAGTGATATGACTGTTGCTATGTGATTAGAAAGGAGAAGTTCTCTACCTATTAGCCACCATCTTGTCTCTGACATTACCTTTATAGCCCAGTTCTTGAAAACTGATTGTACTGACTGTATCTTTATTTCCTCAACTCATACTTACTCTTCAAACCTTATACCCACCATTCCTCCTGATCTCCAGACTCCTGAGTCTCATCTGTCCATTCCTCATCACTTAAATGTCTCAGCTTTCAGACCTCAGTTTTTGGTCAGTTTCTCACCTGACAAGTCCTTTCTGAACACTGTTACTCTTTCCTGCTCTGTGATTATCCCTACCACTACTAGTTTCCTCTGGCTTCAAAAAATTTAGGGTTCCTATTTCATGTAACAGTCACACATTGAGCCTTTGGTGTATTAGTCAACTTTACTTTCATCTCCTTTCCTACCTTCTTTCTACTTTTGTCTTGTTTTATTATATGTTTCTGAAGCTAATTGCATCTTGCTTTGTAAACTTGCCAGACTTTTTTGGAATAGGGGAAGTACTAGATAACATATGCCTCTGGAGACTACTGTATTTGTGCCTAGGGCCTGGTCTCTGCCCAGGGCTGTATACCCTAGTACCATAGTCTCTAAGTGTATGTGGCTACTAAAAGATAGGTTAGAGAACATTTAGTTTCTCAGCCATATTAGCCACATTTCAGTACTTAGTAGCTAGATTGAGCTAATAGCCGTTTCAGTGGGCAACACAATTCTATAGAATGTTTCCATATCACAGAAAGTTCTATTGAGTAGCACTTATCTAGAACCTAGACTGTATAGTTACCCATGTTTTCACTTGAATGAGCCCATATTCCTCTCAAATTGAGCAATTCCAGGACAGAACTTAGTATCTTTCACCCAAATTCATTTTTCCTTTTACAGGTTTTGTGCTCCCATCTATCCCAGGACCCAAGTCAGAAGTCTCAGAGCCACTCTCAACTGTTCCCTTTCTATCCTCCACATTCCTGTCAGTTGTTAAGTCAGTCCCCCCCTCAATAGCTGTTGCATTAGCATCTATTTTTTTTCACCCTTCCTCTTTAACCCCTGAGTTGGACCTGGACTGTCTGAAACCGCAACTGAGTGCCCTTCCCTTGGTCTTCTAGAGCTTGTCCACTATCTGTGCTGTGTCTACAGTGACATTTCTCAAATAAATGCGATTTCCTTGCTCTTGTGTTTTATAACAAGCTAGGACTCCCCTGTCCACAGGATACATCAAAACTCATCCATACCCCCCTTTTTTGGTATCAGAGATCAAACTTGGGACCTTGTGCTTGCCAAGCATATATCCATAGCCCTTCAAGGCCTGCCATGAACTGGCTGCTCCCTGCCTTTTTATCTGCTTTCTTTCTAGGTTGCAGTCTGCAAATCCCTCTGACATTCCTCTATCAAACATCTCCATACCTCCAAAGATTTTCTTTTACTGTATTCCTATGTAGACTCATGCTCCTTCTTGCCAACTGACTTTTCTTAAGCCACAGGTCAAACTCACTCCTCTGTAGCCTGTCTGGCCCTGTACTTGTGAGAGAACTGACCTCCCCCACTCTTCCTCCTTTCTGATTTCCACTGTTAGCTGACTAACAGGCACCAGCCTCATGTATTTACAAGTTCTTTCCCCCCCAGTTAGCATCCTAAAAGGCTGGGATTACAGTCTCAGACTGCTGGGGTCTGGTGCTCAGTTAATATATGAGAAAGGAAGACAAGGAGGAAGAGGCTTGACTAAGAAACCATGTCAATAACAAGTTAAGAAGACACAAGGTTAAAGTAGTATGGTGAAGGTAAACTCGATAGGGGAGTCTTTAGACTTGCATAACTTAAAAGAAGAAGGCAAATTTAAAATTGATGCTAAGGTTTGGCTCGAAGGACTCAGGAGCAGAGTATACCCAATAATAGATAATTTAAGGGTAAAAGGAATTTATTTTAAAGAATAAAAAAGATCTGTTTGATATTAGATAAATTAAGTTTAGGATACCTATAAAATATTTAGGGAAATGGAATTGAACCCTGGGGCCTAGGTTAAAAATGAGGCTAAATACTTGACCCAAAATCAGTTTTCCTTTTTCTTGCCAGAATGTGAAACTTTGTATAGTGCCACTTGCGAGGTGAAAAAGGAAAGTACCAGATACCCTGGGGCTGGAACACAGCGGATACTTCTTGGAATAAGATCATCCTTGCATCTGTTTTGTGCTTAAAGTTAATAGTTTAAACCACAGAAATGTTATTGCCAGTTGAGAAAATATAGAGAAAAATAAAAATACTTGAGCCAAACCATGGAAAGTCCAATTATTGTCACCATCTGTGAGAGAAACATTATCCAAATCAGTGATGGGGAAGACTTCCCTTAATAGAAGAGTGGAAGAGTGCAGACCACAATACACTAAGGAGAGCAAAAGCTATTTCAGTCCCAACTAGCAGTGACATCAAAGCTTTCTCAGAAACAAAAAAAACAACTTCAGTGCCTGGGCTCAGGCACAGGTCAAAAGTGTTCAATAGGATTCTTGGTGTTGGTACAAGCAATCTTAGACCTTGGATCTACCCTGGGCAAGGCACTGGTAGAAATTAACAAGCAAAAAAATCTTACTGA